TTTATCAAATTAGCAAAACATCATGCAAGTGCACATGATCGATAAGTAATATAATAGTGAGTAAGTTATCTTCTCCACATGAATTATATTTAAATTTTTGTTAATTACTAAAATTGGGCAATCTAAATAAATCTAGTTTGAAAATTAATTGAAAATGAAAATTAAAGTAGCAAGGCTAAACTAATGAACTAAGTTAAAAAAAAAAATTTCAAGTAAATTCAATTGGAGAACAATGGGGAAGTACCTAGAATTATGGTTTCAATTAATGCTTTATTTGAATTTAAGATTGACTAATTATCTATTTTTATAGAAAACTAATGTTAACCTAAGATCCTTAAGTATGTACAATTCTCTATTGAGATATCATACAATGGCTTAACTTAATTTAATACTTTATATGTCTATAGCTAATTAATTAAACTAAGTTCCTTAAGTATAGGTCTTATAAAGTGATTGTACATGGTTAATAGGTGTATGTCTACCCTATTAACAAATCACCCAATTAATTCCTAATTGCAATGATTATATATTACCCAAACCATTATCTTTTTAGACTAACTTTGTCAAATATTATCTAAAAACTCATACGCATCCTATTAGTGATCGGTCAATAAAAAGGTAAATAAGTGCAGATTTGAATAAATACTAAATGTTTCATAAAAACAAGTAATAGTCAATCAAGCATCGAAACTATACATTAACATCTACTATAATCCTAGAAAAAAAAGTTTAGCTTAACATTTTAATAGCCCATAATAAAATTTCAACTAAACTAAGTATTTATACAATGAGATTTAGAGAGAGAAAAATAAAACTAGTGAGAGAAAATTCTTTTGGTGTAGCTTTGTCTAAGTTTTTTTTCAAAATTTTTCCTCTTCTTTTCTCCTTGTGGAAAGCTCTTTTTTGCTTTTGGAGTTGGTCCTTCAAAGTCCCCCCTTCAACCTTAAAAAATGATTATATTTATACTCCTTTTGATGGCTATTTAATATAAAATCGAGTGGCTAAAATGTGCAGAATTACGTGTCAGTGTCTAGGCACCTAAGGTTCTGTTTTGTAGCTTGTTTTAACATGCTGAACAGTGCATTCAGCGCCTAGGCGCCCAAGCTTCTGTCAACATTGACTGCAATCTGCTGCAGTCAATCAATTTCTTCTGCATTTTTGACCATAATTCTTTCAGAACTAAGTGAAGTGTTAAACATTAAAGTTATAGCTTTTCCTCTTATCTTTCTGTAGGTTCAAAAATAATGTTGATTGGAGGTCTGTAACACAAGTTATGCTGAAAATATTACAGCATGTTCGGAGGCCTTTTTCAAGTTACTTGCACCATCTTTTGTCATTTGAGTTCCAAGTCCTTGTACATATTTGAATATCAAAAAATCAATTAATTATAAGCTGAAATGAGGGATTTTAACAAGAAATTCATTAAAATTGCATAAATGATAAATGCCATGATATAAATTAAATTACTACTACTAAGCATAAAATTATCTAAGAATTACTTAAAATTACAAAATTTAATTCAATTTTAAGTTTTAAAGATGTATAAGATAATTCTATATAATAGAGTTATCACATATGCTATCCATGACACGTGAACATATAATTCTGTCCTTTCTTTCCTTTGGTTCTAACTCCTAATGTTGTGTTGTTGGTGTTGCTTGGTAAGAGTCTGATCCATTTCTTAATATTCTTTTAATACTTTCACTTAACTTTTACACTATCACCTGGCAGCATTAGCTTTAGCTCGCTGATGACTTGAGAATCAGGGATCAGCTTGGTTGAATGCTGAACGATGATGCTAACTTTTATACTGCTCTTTGTATGATTGACACCCAAGCAAGAGCACCAGGAATAGTCTGGCAGCCTGCCTCAGGCTCTCTTTATCTCCAAACACGGTTTACTGTGCAACCACTCCAACTCTCGAGGAAATCTAAATTGGAAAGCAAGGAAACATTTTGCATGCCAAAGCATGCAAGAGCGAAGAGAGTGAGGGCGCCGCAAGATGTGGGCGGTGACTTAAGGTAAAAGTGAGGAAACTCTTTACATATGCAAACAAAGTGGGGAAACTGATCACTCGCTGTTCCAAATTTTGCCTAAAAGAGAACAGGATATTGGCCTAATCCTACCCTTCCAAAGCTCTCATATTTGACTCGCAAAGTAGCTTCTTTTTCAGTGAAGTATTCTCCCACTTGACCAAAAAGCCAATTAAGCACTTTCCAATTTCCAATTGTCGACTATCGTACACCCTATTAATTGATGCTTATTTACTATGATTTTCTACCTTAAAATGTAAGTCAAAATGTGAATGCGTGCTAGTATTATGTATATGTAGTTTTGTGGCTCACCATTGTTACTTGAGTTTAGAATCTCAATGTTGCTTTCAATACATAGTTGTTGCTAATTAAGTGTAAGAGGCACAAAGCAAATGGTTTCAACTTAATTAATTCTGCTTGTAGTAATGTGTTATTATTCATCATCACAAGAATTTTAATTGTGAGGCAAGGAAAGGAGGTCCACACTCCAAAAACCCTTGTCAAAAAAGCCATAAAGGTACACCCATTTAGGTCATCCGTCCTAATTTGCAAAGTACAATAGTTAAGATTTTAGGTTTGGGGTTTTAGCTAGGGTGGATATATTTTATTGTCAGTAGGACTGAGTTATCAAGCGGTCCAAGCTTTAACATCAATATCAAAATGAGACAGATACCCAACTTTTAAGTACATTTGTCTTGGGATCATCATCATTCACTTGTTTTTCCCATCATATGTTAAGGCAGGGCTGCAGCCAATGCTAACCCTGTGCGCCAAATCCTAGCCTTCCATCATCACTTTTCTTGGCTTCAACTGCAAAATACATATACGTTGTGACGTCTACTATTCCGTAGCTATCCATTCACCCATCGGCTATTTGATTTGTTTTCTTTAGAACAAATTCTACGATAAATAAATTGTTCTAAATGTAATGTTAGGATATATTAATCAAGAATTACTTTTCTCACCAAAACTTATTATATTCTTTGAAAATGGTTTTGTATTGCATCTAATTGCATGGGATGGAGTAACAGAGAGATACGTAGCGATGGGTGCAAGGCTTCCATCATACAAAGAAGTCCCACCTTCTTTTTCTCGATACACAAAAGTGTGTAGTTACATCATTGCGCCACGTTTGGGTTTTGGTTGATTGGAACCTTTATTAAACTTAAAAGTTAAATATCTCTTATTGGCATGATTATCTTCAATCTACACCATTGATTTGTTTGTTTCTTTAACTTCTTGGCATTATCTCCAAACTATATATTGTTTAGAAAATCTCTTTCCTTGGATGCAAAGAATATAAGAGGAAAAGGTTGCGGATTCTTGGGACAATGCTTCACTTAATTAATTTCTAATCTTCGTTTTAATTAATCAGCTAATTAACCATATATATATATATATAATTCTTTTTGTTTCGATAAAGGAATTAATCATACATTTGACTAGTCCTCATAGGGCTGTGTTTGGTGAAATAGCTAATGATAAGACCCTTAAACCTATACGCTTTCCCCCATTATTGATATGACTTTTGCAATAAGAAAATGGAAGACTCGAACAGTAATAGAATAAAAAAATTAGTTAATGTTGTTATTCAAGGGCTGTGAATTAGGTGTCGGAGGGCACCCCTTCCACTAAACAAGACACCAACCTCTGAATGCTCCAAAAACAGATCAATGTTAAGAAAGGAGAAAGGGATTTTATGTGGTTGTCGAGAACTGGAACAAAAATGGTGATGTCTAGTGAGATAAATAATTAAAAGTGAAGTTAACTACTTTTACTGGCAGATTGGATTAACAGTCATGCTAATCTGGGGCTGAATTTTAATTAGTTTTTCCTTAATTTGTTACTGTGATTGAGACATTTGATCATCTTAACCCTTAATCCATCATCAACCAAACTAGTTATTTTCATTAACCTAACCTGTCAACTACTCTTAAAGCATATGATAAACTTGTTTGTAACTGCAGGATCGATGAAGATCACAATTAATTTGCCAGAAATCATTTCAGCACTGATTAACAAAAACACGTGTCATGATTCAGTTTCATTTGGTGGCACTGTAAATTGGAGATTTTCATCATTCAGCGCAGGGAATCTAATTGAAAGTTAATGCGTCCAAAATTTAACTTCAACAAACTCATCCTTCACAGATATAGTTCACCCTAGCAATGGGCTTTACTGCAAATCTTGACATGTGTAAATAGAATAATTTTAAAAAAAAATAAAAAGAGTTTATTATCTCTCAATGTCTACATTACTAGATAAATATATGTATCAAAGTGAAAACCATTTAACACTTGTAACGGCAAAATTATATGTTCATTACAATTGTACATCATACATCGTAAAAATGTAATAATTAGTGTCTTTCTAGTTGTTAGTTAAAAGAAAGAAGACTATTGGAATAGTAAAGAGAAGAGGGCAGAAAGAAAGCACAAGGGGAATTAATTTAAGGCAAATCTTAAGCAATGCACAGATATATTTCTTCCCCTAGACTTTTTAAAGAAGAGATGGAGGGACAAATTATGAAGAAAAGGAAAAAGGGAAAGCAGTGGAGAACCCTTTAATTTCTTGTGGAAATGGAACTCGTGTGGTAAAGAAGTGCATGATGGGTGTAAGTAGTTATGGTGGAGCCCCATAGCCAAATTGGTAAAAACCAAAAATCTATAAAAACAAAAAAATTAAATGAAGAAAATTATGATACATAATATAAAAATTAAAAAATAAAAAAGTTGGTAAGAAATCAAAATGAGTATTGAAAACCGAAGTAAATAATAGAAAAATTCAAATAGACGTTACTCTAGTCTATATTGCCTCCATTGCCTTCTTTGGTTTTCAGGGCCAGCTAGCCTTCCTTCATCTCTCTGTCAAGACTAAAGAACCAAAGATCATAGGTTTAGGTTTTGCTCTCTCTCTTTCTCTGCCTGAACATTGTTTTTGACTGTTTACTTGCCTCTGGTTTGCTTGATTAGGAACACGACTGCTTCATTTCTCTTTCTTTTTGCAAAGTTATTCATTGCAAAAGAAGACCATGCTTTTTACATTTCTTCTTATCCCTTTGAATCCTCTCATCATGAAGTTTATTAGTATAATTATCCAAAGAAAAAAAAAAAAGAACTAAGTTGATTGGTATCTTAGTGCTTCATAATGATTTTCTTGGCCCTTTCCTTCATTATATCACTTTTTAGTTGGTCCTTATATTATCATTATGTTTGCTTCTGCTACGTTTCCCTTGTGTTTTCATTGTTTGTTTCTTCACTTTCTGCATTTTATTTTCTTTTTGCTATGGTCTATGACAGAGGCTTTCCCCATAGATTTGGAGCTAATTGCTTCTTCTTCTTCTTCTTCTTTTATTTTTTTTGCCATTCTTTGTGGATCAGATGCTGCATGCATGCTCCTGTTGCTAACAGCTTAGAAATGAGAGGAGTTATGGGAAACTCACCTGGTTCTGTCGAGACTAGACACCGGTTATCTGCATCAATGTGAGTTGTTTCTTTCATTGGAATTTCCAGTTTTCTGTAATACTGTCCTCGCTGTTTAGATCAATATAAGATACTATAGGGCCAAATTACAATATATTCAGAATTCGTCGTGGAAAATCCCTTTGGTTACAATATTGCTGTATTTCTAGCTTATACTCTGATTTGAGTAAACAAAGTAAGCAAATAGCCTTGAGTTTGATATAATTCAGCAATCTTTAGCTTCTCAGGTTACTAAGTTGCATGAATCCTTTACTATGTAACATTGAAAACCCTTTTATCCAGAAACCTGAGCTTTTAAGGTCAATCTCAGTTTCTCAAGAATTACGAAAGAATCTTTGTTCTTATTGGTTATTAGCAAAACCGGAAGCTCATTGGTCTACAACTCTGAACCTTTGTTTCCAATTATTGACCAACGGGGGGCTGCTTTTAATTATGGTGTTTTCTTTTTGTCAAAAATATGCCCACTGAGGTACAAATGTCAAAATCACTGCTAATATTTACATTAGAGTAGAGGCTTCTAAGGGATTGCTTCAGCTTTGCAAGATATTGATTGGTGAACTTAGATCTTTGCTTTAGTCGCAAGTCATGTTTTAAATATAAATCTTCCAGTTTACCTGCTGTTTAATTAATGATGAGGTTGTTGAAGACCTACCTTTCAGAGATTTAATTATTTTTGCCCAATGAAGGAGGAACTAGAATGTTTTCCACTGCATTGAAACCTCAAATTAATTAAAATAGGGCAGGCCTGGAATTATAATTAACCAACTGTTCTGGCTATCAGAAATGCAGGTTGCTTGCTTGTTAGTATTCATCCTTATTCAATGTCCGAATTCGAATCTCTACTAAGCTTGCTTAAGTTCTTGTCCCATTGGCATGTTTAATAGGGTTAGGATCAAATCATGGGTCCAAATTGACTTAACAGAGGAGAATTGTGGAATGTCCCTCTAGGTAGATCTTTTCTATCAACTCCTTCATATCCTTTCTTAACTCAGGGATTAAAAATATAAGTACAAGGATTGAAAGATAAAACTTTAGGCTCAAGTTTTGTGTCAGGTTCTATGTTGTCATTTTTTTTTCTAGGTTTTGTTAGGATGATTTGCTTTTAGGATGGTGAGGGGCACTTCTCTTATAATTGAAAGATAAGACTTCAATTTCGTCAATAGGTCACATCTGAAATTGCAAATAGAAAGTCACCAACAGAAGATTTCAATCTACCACATATAAATCAATGTGAACTGACAACATACCACATTGATTTTATTTAATAAATTACAAATTTAGATGGTCGGGTCTTATATTATATTGGTGTAATTTTGGAGCAATTCTTTATCAATTCCTTACATTATATTCATGTGGAGCAGAGAAACATAGGATTATTCCTCTATGCAGAAGTGTCTGCGCTCTGTAGTCTACACCAAGTCGATTTGTTTCAGTTTTGTTTTACCTCTCTCTTTCTTGCTCCCAACTTTGATACTGCCATTTGCGTTGTTCATCCGTATTTCTGTCGAAGAGCGTGGTAAGGGCAAGAGCTATTTGATAGAGAATCAAAATTAGTCCTTAATTTGGTATTGTTATACAAGTAGTCATTAAGAGTGACCTGATAGACCAACCTCCCTGATACAGTACTTGCATCAAGTGAAAATTACCCAACCACATTGTACCCTTTGGTCTTTGAAGTTAGCATGATGAGGCATAGAAACTCCTAACCCCAAGTCCCCATCCATTTTCTACCTATACATGATTCATCCTTCAGGTTATCCACAAACCGTTTGTTTTACATGTTATACAAAGGCTTTATTTCATCTGCAGATAAGGAAGTTTTTAGTCCTTGCTCATTTTCTTCAGAATGCTTTCATTCTTTGCTACTTTAGTTTTTTTTTTTAATCTTTTACAATATCTTATGTTTTTTCTCAAACTCTACACTCATTGCAGTGAGGCAATATACAAAAGGAGGTTAAATAAAAATAAAGTAAAAGGTGTTGAGAAGCCTTTCCACATCCCAATCCAAGATCGGAACTCATGCTGCAAATATCCTCTGCTGAAACTTGTCTTGGTTATTATCGTGTGTGGCACTTTTGTAACACTTTTGTACTCTCCAGAGGTCTATCACAGTGACCATCTATCAGGCGCAAGTTCTCGGTATGTGTCTCTTACTTCCATCTGTTTTGCTACCCAATTCCCTGATTTTAATGGAAGCTTTATAGAAGTTGGGTATGCAATCCAAGTACTGGTTTGCCCCATGACCACAATAAGGCTCATTACTACGATGAAGGCCTCATGCGGTAATAGTATTGCATGGCTTCTTAAATCTTGCTGTAATTGTTGAAGCATGATTTAGCTTTAATTTGACCATTGAAGCGATCATCAAGCACGTACACTTCTTTTGATGGTTAATATCTGTAATATAGTAACCAGCTCAGCTCTGTCCTGTATTTTAGAGCTCTATTCATAACTCGTCAATCCTCGAAAACTAGAGGAAAATTATAGTAATCATTCAACTTGACATTCTTCCTGGCATCTTTTACTGCTAATGATGACTAACCCATGCCTTGTTTATGACTTAGCTTTAAGGTCATAATTCAAGTAACCCTTTTCCTTTTTCCCCCAAGGAATTAATGTTTGGCCAGCGCCTAGTAAGGGGACCTTTTTATCATGCTTGTGTAAGGAGAGGATTGAGGGTTTGGAAAATCTAGGCCTTCTATTTCTAATCCAAGCCTCTATTATTCTAAAATAAAGGTTCCTTCAAACTATAGACAAATAGACAATGCAAATTCAGCAGTTGGTTCTCTCAATCCCTCTAAATTTTTTTTTTCTCATTAGTATATAGGTTTCTGCATGTCTCCCTCAGTAACTTACTGTAGCCAAGTTAAATTGTGAAGGCATTTTAGCAATCTAAACTGGATATTTTAGGGAATCAAATGGTGAACCATTGATTAATGAAATGTATATTCCACGCAGGCGAAATTTTATGAACAGGTGGATATGGGGAGAAGCAGATTTTCGTTATGTATCAGATGTAGATACAAACTGGGATGATGTCATGAAAGCTATAGAGAAGATGGGGGAACAGAATGACTACCAGGGAATTGGACTTTTGAACTTCAATACTACTGAAGTCACTCATTGGAAGCACCTCATACCTGATGCCAACCACATTGTTCTGCATCTGGACTATGCTGACATGAATGTAACTTGGGATTCCTTATATCCAGAATGGATTGATGAGGAGCAAGAAGAAGACGTCCCAGTTTGCCTGCCTCTACCTAAGATTGAAGTCCCTGGAAAACGGCTTGATCTGATTGCTGTCAAGCTTCCTTGTAGAAATGAGGGGAATTGGTCAAGGGACGTTGCTCGGCTGCATTTGCAGCTGGCAGCAGCTAGTCTTGCAACCTCCTCCAAGGGCTTTTATCCGGTGCATGTGCTTTTTGTTTCAAAGTGCTTTCCTATTCCAAACATGTTCACTTGCAAGGAACTCGTAGCACGTGAAAAGAATGTCTGGTTATATAAACCAGACTTGAATGTGTTGAGAGAAAAGCTCCAGCTTCCAGTTGGGTCTTGTGAACTTGCACTTCCTATGGGGGTCAAAGGTCAGTTCTAATCCAGCTTTTACATGCCTCCAAACTTCTGATATCCTTTCTTGTAGCTCTTCGGTATATAGTTTTCCCTCATAAAGAATAAAGCATGCTTTAATGGTTCATAAATGCTACTGAACCATAAATGCATGAATTAACAGCTGAAAGGAGGTGAGCTGCAGTTGACCTCACAAACATTTGATGCATCCCTGTTTTCAAAAATTCATAACCAAAGAAATTTTCTGCTGTATTATTGCTCCTGTCATCTGCTTTAGCTAGTTTGCTTTCATAGTTTTAAAACAATTGCCTCATCCTACCAGAGAAATATCTCCAACTAACTATTGTACAATTACCTGAATTTAGAGATTCTTATGTTTCATCACTAGTACTTTATAAAAGCCTAATACAGTATGTAAAATACAGAGCCACTATATTCAGGGAATGCAAAGCGAGAAGCATATGCTACAATTCTCCATTCAGCTCATGTGTATGTTTGTGGAGCTATAGCTGCAGCTCAAAGCATCCGCTTGTCTGGCTCGACGCGAGACCTTGTGATACTTGTAGATGAGACGATCAGTGTTTATCACAGGAGTGGGCTTGAGGCAGCTGGATGGAAAGTCCGGACCATTCAGAGGATCAGGAATCCAAAAGCAGAAAAAGATGCTTACAATGAATGGAACTACAGCAAGTTCCGGTTATGGCAGCTGACAGATTACGACAAGATCATATTCATTGATGCGGATCTGCTTATCCTTCGAAACATTGATTTCTTATTCGGGATGCCAGAAATATCAGCAACTGGAAATAATGGCACACTATTTAACTCCGGCGTGATGGTCATCGAACCTTCAAATTGCACCTTCGAGCTTTTGATGGAACACATTGATGTGTTTGAGTCTTATAACGGTGGGGATCAGGGATACTTAAACGAGGTTTTCACATGGTGGCACCGGATCCCACGACACATGAACTTTTTGAAGCATTTTTGGATTGGTGATGACGAAGAGGTTAAACAAAAGAAAACCCGCCTTTTCGGCGCTGAACCTTCAATTCTGTATGTGCTTCACTATCTAGGTATAAAGCCATGGTTGTGCTTCAAGGACTACGATTGCAATTGGAATGTGGATATAATGCTAGAGTTCGCCAGTGATGTTGCCCATGAAAGGTGGTGGAAAGTCCATGATGCAATGCCCGAGAAATTACACCAGTTCTGCATGTTAAGATCAAGGCAAAAAGCACAACTAGAATTTGACAGAAGGCAAGCTGAGAAGGCAAATTTCACTGACGGCCATTGGAAAATCAAAGTTCAGGACAAGCGTTTGAAGGAGTGTATCGACAATGTATGTTCCTGGAAGGGAATGCTAAAACACTGGGGTGAGAGCAACTGGACCAATGATAAATTTTTTGTTCCAACACCACCTGCAATCAACACGGCATCTCTCTCAGGGCTGTGAGTTGTTTCTAAGTCTTATTTTTTTTTCCTCATCATTTTCATGCCTTGTTTATGTAAATGACAGAGTTCTAAAACTGGGTTCTCATTTCTTTTTATTCATAAACATGTTTAGATCCATTATGTGTTTTGGGCATAATAGATGAAATAACCTTTTTTTTTTTCCCCAAATCGTATTAGACCGATTGGGGATTTTATATGAAAATATACTGCTTAATTTTTCATTAACATTCAAGTATTTAGTTTATTAATTCTTACATGATTTCTTACCTAAAACGCAAAAACCAATAATCTTCTTCCTCAGATAAAAAAAACAAAAATTCTTGATTTTTCACTACCTTTGTCTAATAAGCTGGTTACGTGTACCCAGAGGCCAATAGTCCAACAAAACTATTGGATTGAAACTGTCACGCGTGTCCAATGCCCATGCCAACTTGGTGTTCAAGCATTGAATAATCAACCTCAGAGATGGTTGGCCGTAAGCATTGGCATACTCATTGAAACAGTTAAAGAATATGGGGTCAAGTTACTAATTTCACATGGCTGGCTTGTTTTGCCGAGCTTCCGTGGACACACATGACATCTACTTAACTCTATATATCATACAGAACCCATTATGTCATCCACCCCCAAATATATATACCCAAAAAGATTGAGTAAAGAGATAAATATGAAGCGAGTGTTGTTGCTGCGTAAGAGTTCCTTAATGCCCATTCCTTTAAGATCCACTAGTAGCTGAAAGGGAGATTGTGGGAATCAAAAGTGATGACAGCTGACATGCCACAATCTCATGCTTAGCACTCAACCACAATGCTCTTAATGCAAATACAAAAGATAAAAGAAGTCTAGTGGAAGAGGACATTTTTTTTTCCCAAAGTGGCTGCGTAAGAGTTCCTTAATGCCCATTCCTTGAGTGTGCTGTCAACAAGTTGTTTAGCTTTGCCATACCAGTTTCAACAATGGTAATCATATGTTACCCATCATATTGTAAAAACCTGACGTATGGTTCTTGGCAAACCCCAAAAGAGTGTGGGTATATGTTTTAAGCCAAAGACCATTGGGCAGTTGGGCACACGTGAAGACCATTATCAAAGTTAGTTGTATATAAAGCCATATGAATTTAGGAATTAAGAGTGGGAAACTAGCCCTCTCTGCATCATGTGAAAGCAACAGAGACATAGGGCCAATCTCCCTTTTGTTTGGATTTATATTCATGGAGGTTCATGTGAACTTGAGAATCAATTGTAGGAAAGAAATCATGCCCATATCATATGTTCCAATTAGCATTTTCTCTAGCCAACAAAGGACATTGCACTATGGAATTACCTTATTTCTGTAAGGCCCACACCGACACTTCCCCCGTGAAAAAGTGAGCAAAATACAAGAAGAAATTCCCCCATTGTCCTTTTTAATATATGGCTGCTTACATCTATTGTAGATGGCCCTTATTTATTGTTTTTTTTTTCTCTTTTTAAACGAGTTCAAGTGTTTTTTATATGATTCATACTGGTTAAAATGTTTAATACGTTGTTCTCCTCAATTTTTTAAGATAAATTAATTATACTTTGACATAATATTTTGCAAGTTTTTAAATTATTTTAAAAAAGATAAATTAATTATAATTTGACATAATATTTTAAAAATTTTTAAATTATTTTAAAATTTTATCTTATACTTATTTTTATTTAAATAATTTCTTATACTTGCTATGTTGATATGTCATGATAGATGATAATATGATTATATAAGCATTTCATCATCCAAGTCAACATTATTTGAGTATAAGATAATAGATGATATTTTGATTAATAATAGACAATCTATCATTAGTTATAAAAATTTATTTAATTTAAAAATAAAAATATAAAAATTTTATTAAAATAAAAAATAATTTAATTAATTTTTTTAAATAATTTAAGAGTTTTTTTAAAATATTATTATTATAAATTTTTATAAATATGATCTCAATTAATATAAATAGACACCAACTAATAACGTACTTCACAAATCACAATATATTTCAATGAGCGCCAATGCTGACTTCCTGCCTCCTTTTACCAGTTCCCCGTCTTTGCACCAATGAGTAGCATTCGTTTTAGCGGTGCCAGAATCCTTGCTAAGAATGTGCGGTAAAGGCGTAAAGCAACGGCCAACCTAATACAATTACACAATGCAAAAATTGCAACTTGGTTTGATTTCCGTGTCACCCTAACAACTTTACCTACAAGTCAAGAAAAACAGTTGGGCAATGTCATACCCCAATTACTACCAGGCTAACATGGAATTCTTGTCTAACCATGGGCCCCCCCAGCCCCTCTTGTCTTGCTTGCTCCATCAATGTATATGCCCACTCCAAGTTGTTCAGCCAAGTGCTGGTGAATTGGGACAACCTCCTAGAAAGGCTCTACTAATCTAAATTTAAGCAAGAAAATAAATAAGAAAGAAAAAAAGGGAGAAAGCCAGGTTATAGGAAGGGAAAGTAAAACCCTTTCTTTGTGTAATAATAGGATATGCAATATTGCAATATGACACATACTACCCAAAGTGTTTGTAACAGATAAATTCGATGATCGACTAAACTCTCCTTGGCTTTACAATCTTAATGATTTTGACTTAATAATCAAGAAGATTCTTGGCAATATGGGAAAAGAAAAATCAAGATGATGTTGGAATCCACTGATCTCCTTGAATGAAATTTTGGACTGAATAAGTATAAACACGCTGTGCTGGAATTTGGGAACTCCATGGTACTCTTGTAGACACATTAGATCCTGGTCCAGAATTCCCAAATTCTCCATAGAAAAGTGTTCTCAATGCATAATCACCACTCCATGGCATCCACCCCTCCGGAGTGATAAGAGCTTCCATGACACAGTTTATAAAAACTGTCCGTGAATACTCCTTCCATGGCCTTCCCAAGAAATTCTTGTGCACTTTAGGCTTGCTATAGTAGTATCTCATGTATTCATCAGTTCCATTGAGCAAGCAGTTCTGGAAAACAAGACCAGTTGATTGAGCAGGATCGGTTCTTCCATGAGCTGTGATGGCATTGCTCTCACCTTTTTCTGGCTTTACCTGCCGGGGAGCAACTAAAACTTCGCAATCTTGGAATACTGTAGCAGAATTTCCAAAGATGAAGTCCACATTCCCCTGAATACGGCACTTCTTGTAGAATTGGCGGAGTGAGTGAACATAGAGAGTATCTTGATTGCCTATGAATTCACAGTTCTCAATGACAGAAAGATCGCTATCTGATCTGAAGGCTACTGCTTGGTGGGCATCAGGGCCTGCTGTGTTCTTGATTGTGAGGCCACTGGCCATAAATCCATCCCCAAGAACTCCTGCAACATGCCAATGCGACACATTAGATAGCATGACGAGTTTGATTATAAAATTCTTTGGCTTACTTTACTAACCTTCATTCTTCACTCATATATTTGCCATAATTATATCCAATGCCTAAACAAAAAGGGTACCTTACTACCTTCTTTGGTATAGAAGAGTGAGCAAGACTCATGAGTTAAATCAAGAAATTTTGCTCAAAATGGGGGTGATATAAGCTCAGGGAAATCATGAACATCTATCTAGACACAATCTCATTAAAGCTTTAGATGGAATTGAAATTGAATATATATACAATTCTAGCCAGTTGGCATCTGTATTAATCAAAACAAGTCGTTTATTTATTATCACCTCTTTAATAACTTTGAGATTGGTTCTTAAGGAGAAGAGATGCATAGAAATCAAAAGATCCCGCCCTGTTACTTTAAGATGTGAAACTGCGAAATTCTATGGAAAACAAAGTGGAAACTTCGTCCCCACAACCTTACACATTTGTCAGTGCATTACGGAGAAATGTTAAACAAAGTTAGATATTTAAATAATAACACAGAAACAACAAACACCCTGACAATTCCAAAGAGAAGTTAATCCTGTCTACATAAGGAACCTAAACCATGTGGTTGGTTTGCACAAAAAAGGTCAAAATAATGGTAAAAGCAATCTTTTATAACCCTCAAAACTAAAGTTAACACTTGTCAAATATAGGCGTAACCACTACTCCTAATTCTTTGAAAAACTGACTTTGGCTTCCAAACTTTAGTTTCAGCTTAACGAATTAATTAGTCAAACCCTTGGAAAGGAATTGAATTGAATTGAATTGGGTATGCACATGAGAAATTTACACAGATGTGGAAGCTATTCTTGCTTTTCTTTAACAAAAAGAGAGCAATTGAGCCCAATCTAGCATTCCTTATCACCACCCCATCAAAAGCTAATATCACTTTTAAGTCAAGTCAAGTAGTCTGAAACTATTCATATACAATGAAAAGTCCGCTCCTTTCTCTTTTCCACATTTATGAGTTTGGACAATTCGACTGACTCCAAGTCTACCTAGCGGTATACTTTTCCAACTGAAATAAACATGGCAGGTCGTCTCTTGATCTGATCATCCTACTCCAACATTATTGCTTTACAAGAGTCTATGTCCGCCTTTTACGTGTAAAAAAAAAAAAAAGGCAATGGAATTACTATTTTAAGGGCAACAAACGGAGAATCGAACACACTGACAGTGCACAAATGAAATGAATGTACTAATAAGTTATTACATCCATATTATTATTTATGGTTTGATTAAAAATAAAAAGAAGAGGGTACTTACCGACCGTAGCCGAATTGTAAGTGGTCATTCCACGCTGCCCCACATTTGCAGAACCCGTGATAATCGTTTTACCCATCCCATCCCCCAAAAACACCACGTTTTTCTTCTCAAACGGAACCCTAACGGTTTCCTCGTAAACCCCTTCCTCTATATGTATCACGAAACGGCGTGTCGTCTCTGCATTATCCGGAGCAGCATTAACGGCGTCTTGCACGGCCTTGTAACACCCTCCGCTCCCGTCTTTACACACCGTTACGTCCGGCTTTAAGTCCGACGGAAAACCCCCGTTAAACCCCAAGTCCGTCCCGCCGGACCCGTTCTCGTAAAACCCGTCCCGTTCCGTTTTGGGAGGGGCCCACGAGGCTATATCATTCCCATAATTATCGTAAGAGACCATCATGGACAACGCGTTGCTGCTGTGTTCGGTTAAAGAGTCCAAAAACGCCATCGTTTGATCGACCAATTTGGTGTCGTTTACGTACTTGAGGGCGCTCCAACAATCGTACTGGTAGCACAGGGCCGCGCTCATCCATGCACGCGCATCTTTGATCTTGCCACGTGTCAATCCGTCATTGGCTGAGTTCATGCGGTAGTCTGAGTATGAAAGAATTTCCAGGCAGGTGGTGGCGGCGTTGGTACGGTTAAGGTTGCCTTTGGAGGAGTCGAGGATGGATTTTACCATGGATTTTCCGGTTTTGAGGTTTTCGGAAGAGACGGCAATGGCTGATTGGATGATCTGGAGGGAGGTTGGGTTAGGAGGGAGACTGGAGGATCGTGTCAGGGATGTCTCACATGGCTGTGGGAAGCGAGTGGATTGGCATGCAAGGTGGATTTGCGAAGAGGTAGGGGTGGAAACAGGGGAACTTTTAGGCGATAAATGCGGGTCTTGATGGTCGTGGTGGTTGTGAGAGGAAGAAGAGAGGGTGAAGAAAAGGGTGAGGGAAAGAAGGGATAGGAGAAGAAGAGTGGACATTGATAGAAGCAAACAAGTGGATTTCCAAAGAGGTTTTTTGGAAGGTTTTCTGTGAGAATGTTGTAAGAAGGGCGGTAAAGATGCGGGCATAGTGTTTGGGTTAGGGGATATATCATAAATATATACAATTGGTAGTGTTGGGGAGGTTGGAAATTATTGGGAAGTTAGTAATTGGTGGTGATCAGGCAATCTCAACATAGGACACTCAGAATTTTCGGATTTGTCTTTTTTTGGGATGAAAAGCGAATACAGGGGAATTCACGGGGAGGGATGAGAAGGGAAAGTTAAGTTGAGAGTCACGGGAATTTTGATTTTGGATTTTTCGGAATGGTAGGATTATAGGCTAAGGGGTAGGGGAGGATGTTGGTGGAAACGGAAGGCGTGGCCATTTACTGTCACGAGATCTTTAGATTGATTGGGCCGAAATATCCGAAAGATAGTCGGGAGGACAGAGGAGAGGGCATGGAAGAGAGTAAATGAGGGAGTGGTGATAGTGGTTTTCTTATTTGTATCTATCAAGTATGAACAATAATAATGGTCTTAAAATGGAAATGGAGAGAGAGAAAAAAAAGAGGCTTGTTTCGTGCATATTACTAATTTAACGTAGGAAACAAAGGAATTGGTCTCTACTGTTTAATGTTTATTACAGCAAGTTGGTCTAGACTGTCTAATAAGAAGAGAGGGAGACGGACAATGATCAGTGCTTGCTTCGAGCCTGGAAATTTTTGGTGCCAGATCCAAAATAGGACTAACAATAACAACAAAGTTACTATGAACAGAGAAAGAGGAAGAGTGCGGGCAACAAATAAATTACTATTTTTATTGCGTGAGTCCGGGATGGGGCTGGGCGTTGCTTAGGCCTAATGGATCCGCTTCTCTGTCCACTCGACTTCCTTCTCATCATCCTTTGGAATGAAATCTTCGCCGTTAATACGCTACACTTCACACGTGCACCACTCACGGGTCATGCCTATTGCCAAAATTTATGTACATTTGCTTGCTAACTAGGTTGAGTAACACAAAATTTATGTATATAATTTTCGATTACAATTTTTCCTCCATCACTAATTCGTTGTCCACATTTGACTTTCACTTATATTAATTAAAACCAACTTTAATATATTTTTCAATAATTTTTTTATTAAAAAATTATAATATTGATATCTTACAAATTTTTAATGCCAAAAAGTTAAAAACAATATATTAAAATTTAATTCAATATATTTATATAACAAAAGCAATTAATTAAACCGTGATGATATTTAGTTAAAACTTAGAAAATGTTTTTGTGAATTTTTATGAGGGTCAATGAGTTAATTTATAGCCGTTGAAAAGTGTTACATTTAACAGGTTATTGAGTAAAAATAGATAAATGTGAAATAAATAGCCAAATGGATAGATCATTCAAATGCAACCTAATTATTGTAGAATGGTACCTGCAACAGCAAGCAAAGAAGTGATGCAAGATTTGCTTCCTCTTCTTTACCAGCAACTTGCTCACCATACCATATTGTTTTTAATTGCCCAGCTCCATAATCAGGAGAACCAGCAAAAAGGCCAAGACTGTATCTTCACCACTGTTCATGGGAGAAATAGTACAGAATGTACTACATTACTTAGATTTATCTGATAAAAAAAAAAAACTTAAATGAGAGGTAAACTGTAAACACCTGCAAAATCAGAATAAGAAACAATATGCTCCATAGAGGTTGCGGTTTGACCTTCTTGCAGAACAAACAATAGGAGGATAGCTCCTCTCCAAGAAAATGAAAAAGGGAAAAGCAAGTTAGTGGTGAAGAAGTGGAAGAACTTCAAACAACTACTACCTGCACAAGAACAAATCATCAATGTTCACAGCTAAAATTCCATTTTAAAAGAGTGTGCTACATTGCTTTCAAGAATGAAAATAGTAAGACAAAATTTGATGATCAACCATATTGAAAATTGTGAATGATTATATTGTTCTATAGGCTATGTATTTGGAGATAATAGCGTGCCTTCTGAACAACTTTTACACTTTACGAGCTAGTGTCCTCTGCTTTGTTGCATGCTGAACTACTTTTTCTTCTACAGGGAGACCCTTCCGCCGCCTCACAGCATCAATGAGCTTTCTTGCTGTATTTGGAAGAACGCTAGAACCATCTCCAAACTCTTCTATCTCCTCTTCTGTTTTGGGAACAAAAAAAGGATCCTCAGGAAGTGCTTCCCAATGGCTAAGGACGAGAAGTGCACTAGAAGCCCCAGATGTCCATCTCCTTAACTCATCCGCAAAACCAAAACTTTCAGAAACTGGCACATAAGCATGCACAGTAAAAAGTGGAGAGCCTTCCTGCATTTCTTCCTTCAACACTCGGGCTCGCCTCCGAGCAAGCACAGCATACATAGGGCCCAAATATTCAGTTGGAGTATTCAACTCACAAAAGTACATGGCTTCAACAAGCCGAGGTTTCCTCTGAAGCACAGCTGCTCTACAGGCATCCTTGACTGCTGTCATTACCTGTCCAGTAAAGAGACCATACTGCTCAGGCTGTTGGTCAGGTTCTGATTCACTGGCCTGCCCAGTTAAGGAAGAGATATAAGCTTCAACAACAAATGCTAGTCCCCACATTGGTTCATCACATAAGGGGCCAGCTGCAGTAGCTAGTTGAAATCCAGACATCACACTACTTTCAAGGCTCTCCACCTCTGTGTAGAGTGGTTTAGTTAGTTCTGAAGATGTCACAGCAGCCATATCACCAGCACTAGAATTGTCAGCAAACCCCAATCTTAGAGATACATGAGGGGAACCACATATCAGAACAGAGCCATCATTATTCTTCCTTTTGTAATCTGGAGTGAAGAGGATGTTAGGACCAACCTGCCTTGGACCAAGTGCCCAGATCCTCCTAAGAAACTTAAGCCACTTACCTTTGCATTTCTCACCCTGATCCTTGTCATTTTCATTTCCACACAAAATATCACCTTCCAAAACATCAACTATGCGTTTTCTGAGTACTTCAGTTGGATTCTCAGCTTCCCCCACATTCGATCTATGTATTTCCAAGCCTTTACCACTCTGCCCTGGTTTACCTCCAATAATATCTGAGAGCAAATCTGCACTTTCATCAAGCACCTTAGTTAGTGTAGGTGGAAGTTTCATGACTTGAACGCGGATGACACATCTTCCATTTGGAGTCATTTTTTCAACATAATCTGAGCTAGCACTCAATCTTTTCAAATCCTCCAAAGGATTAGATAAATCACCCTCAATGGTCTCTTTATATGACACAAGAGGTGGAGAGACTTCCAGGCTCACCTTCGCAAATCTCTCCTTCAAATCTTTTACACATCTTTCTAGATGAACCTCCCCAGCAGCAGCTAACACATGTTCCCCTCTAGATGAAACAGTGACCTCCACAAATGGATCTGCTCGATTCAGAAGCCTCAGTCCTTTCATAAGAGCACCCATATCTGCTGGATCAGCTGGTTCAATTGCAACCCTCAGGGTGGGGGCAACTTGGAATGCCATACTTGAGAATGGCCAACAGTTTCTTGTGGATGAAAGAGTTGCACTCTTTAGTATGTGTTGACCAAGTCCACGGATTGCCACAATATTCCCTGCCCTTGCTGAGGCCACTGGTTTCAGACCTTGACCCATCATTAAATATAAGGAGTGCAATTCAGCTTCCTGCACATGCTTCTGCATCGATTCCCCTCTCAATGGATCATATAAAGCTGAAAGCACAAAAACTCTTTGTCCTGATGTAAGAACCCCACTAAATATCCTAGCAAATGCAAGGAAGCACTCATCTGATTCATTGCTTCCACCTTCATCATTGAAATTGTTTAAAATCTCCCCATGTGGACCACGTTGGGGTAGCATCTTTGTCGGGATGGCAAACATTTTGGATACAAATGCAATACATGGTGCTTCAGGGCTAGAATCACAAGCTTCAACTGATTTTCTCACAAAATCAGCCTCTTCAACCACATTAGAGTCCACCCCTTTATCAAGAATTTCTCTTTTGGGAAGCAAGCGTGAAATTCTAAGAGATTGGGCAGCAATTGGATCTGGCATACACTTCACCACCATTGACAAAATTGCATCTGACAGAGGAAGCCATCTGCTCATTACAGCTTGAAGTAAGATCTTTGGGTCCTTATTCTGCAGTTCACGAGGAGGCACAGACAAATTAAAAGATTTAATCACTTTCTCAAGCATCCCTTTGTCCCCATCAGGCTCCAAAGCAGCGTGGTAAACCTGCCAAAGTGGCTCAAGAACAAACTGCACAAACATCGGCCGAGCCTTACTTCCTCCACCTAGTCCCTTCTTCCCAACAATCATCTTGGTCTTCGGATTGAAAAATCGAGGACCCCAAAGGGCCTTCTGCAGTGCAGCTGCACTTGCTCCAAGCTTAGAAGCATAGAATTCAGCAAACTCATTAATTGTAAAGCCCCACCCATCCAATGCACACACAAACGCAACATTTCCCTTTTGGGGTTGAAAAGTATCCTCCTCATCATCTTCTATAGACTCCAAATTCTCATCAGTCACCTCACCAGAAGGGCCAGCAAGTATCGAATCAACATCAGACAAATATTTCTCCGACTTATACGCACTCATGATCCCATTAACCTCATGAACAATCCTCAATAACCGATTATAAGCTTCTATAGGACTCAACTTCAACTCACATATCAACCTATCAATTTTATTAAGAACTAAACATGGGGTAACCTTCTCTATCCAAGACTGACGCAGAACCGCATGAGTTTGAATATGAACGCCCTCAACAGCATCAACCAAAACCAATCCACCATCACTCAACCGCGCAGCTGTTGACACCTCACTACAAAAGTCCATATGACCAGGGGAATCTATAAGGTTAATCTCGTAGTCTTTATAATGTAGAGCTATGGACGAACTCTTCATTGTTATCGCTCTCCTCTGTTCTTCATCAAGATAATCCATATACCTAAGTTTACCAGCTAGTTTAGGGTGAAGTACACCGCCACCCGTGGCGGCTATCAAATGATCAGCCAATGTAGTTTTACCATGATCAACATGTGCTAAAATACATATATTTCTAATCTTTCCCGTGTCAGAGCCACCCATTTTTTTTCTTCCCCGAGTTACAACAACAACAACAAGAAGCAGAGCGAAAATAACAAAGAAATCTGCTGAACAATATTTGGGGAATCTTAAAACCAAACAAAAACAAAATTGGGTTTTTGTAAATGATTCCCA